TTAGATCGAAAGTCGGCCAAAATTTAGGACTTTTTGCCGAATTTCGGCACAAAAAGTTTCATGCCTATTTCAACTGCAAAGGAGAATGTTTCTACAAAAAATCCAATTTTTCCGCACGAAACTGCCAAAGTTATAGCCAAAAAGGTGTTTTCTCTCTGACCGCTCTCCACGTTGAGCGTGCTCTCTTGGCGGCAAAAGGCGTTTGATATCCCGGCGGTGCCTGAAAGCACGAGCTAAAACTTTCAGGAATTGATATTTAGTCCATACCCGACGTGTGTGCAAAATTTAAAGAAAATCTGAGCGTCGCACTTGGAGTACTTCCCTTGTTAATTAAGCTTCCCAGAAAATTACCAACTACGTAAAGCCCGAGGTATGAGGAAGTTGATTAGCTTTACGTGCCAATCCCCTTTCTTGGCCCAAAAATTTCATTCAGATTTAATAATTCCGAAACTTTTCGCCCTTATCCAAAGGAATTCCCACACTTTTCAATAAGAAAACACAAATTTTGTTTTGGACAATTAAGAAGGGATTAGAGGGGAACCCCCAGAAGCTTAAGGTCAAATGATGTCTTTCCAAATACATGTGTATGACAGCTAGGGGATTACTGACTTACTCATAGCAGACGTTGGATGAGTTACGCAACTAAACGTTTGCAAGGATTGTTGAAAGTCCGTTGGCTTTGTGGGTGGAGGGTGGGAAAGCCGGTGGGATTGATTGTGGAATTTTCGGGTTAATTTTTTTGGATATTTTGATTTTTTTTGGGAGACCTCTTCATTGGAAGAGAAAGTCGCCATCTTCTTGATGTCTTTAGGAGAAAATGTAAACAGACCACTTATTGCTTCTGAAGATTTACGCGTTTTGCAAGGATGGCCTCGGTAATCATCTTTGCTTAATATAGTTTATGAAAAATCAAAAGATACGGCTAGTGAAAAAAAACAAATTTAGCGACACTTTGACAACTTTTGGGGCTAAAATTTTCTTTACGCTTTCGTTGTGCTTTTTTGAGGTTCAAATAAAAAAAAATTGATGAAATTTGCCGAAGAGAGTATGCGAAATTCGGAGAGCAGTCAGAGAAAAAATATACTTTGATCATATCTTTCACTATCAGAAAATTTTGATTTTTTTGTATAAGCTTTTTTTTCTTGAGGTCGAAATAAAGCTGAACCGTTTTATGGGAAAAACTCTCAAGCAAGAGTTGTTTTTACCAATTTTTGCGCTAAAAATCTCAAGTATTTCTTTAAATTGCAAGATAAAACGCCCGTTAAATCTTAGCGAGTATTTTTGTGCCATGTTTTATTGAAATTCCCATATATTTTTGAAAATCTGGCAAAGCGAATTTTCTCATTTCTTTTTTTTCGGATATTCCTTCGGCCAGCAGTTATCATGTTACAATGCGGGAAGCGTCACATAAATTCCGCATCTTCTCACATTTTACGAGCTTCTTATTCTTTACACATGTCCGCAAGGCAAGCAAAGAATCCAATAAACAAATCTTGTTTCTCGGATTTTTCTTCCTTTGTGATTTTTTGCAACATTTTTTTTATTGTGAAAACAGAAAAATACAACTTTACATGGATTGAGCAATAAATTTTTCATTTTTTCAATATTTTTATTAGTAATTTGGAGCATTTACGTGTTATGACTAAAAATCCAATTTCTGAAGATGACTCGGCCACATCTGGGAATTTTTTTATTATGATTGGAAAAAATGTTTCAAAAATTTGAATTAGACGAGAGGGATGGGAAAGGGATTACAAAATGTGATATTTTTTATTTTTCAGGATTTTTTGAACAATTTTTTTTACAAAGGAACTACCTCAGTCAGAGTCAGAGAGAAAAACACTTTTTGGCTATATTTTTGCTAGTTTCGTGCGGAAAAAATTGATTTTTTCGTTGAAACATAACGCTTTACGGTAGAAGTAGGCACGAAACTTTTCGGGCCGAAATTCGGCAATAAGCCTTAAATTTTCGCCGACTTTCCGTCTAAAAATCTCGGTTGTTTCTGCAAAGCGCGAGCTAGGATTCTCGCATATATTTTAGAAAAAATTATTTTAAATCTGTGCAAAGTTTCATCAAAAGCTGAGCGTCGCACTTGTGGTACTTCCCCTGTAACACACGTCTGAGATTTGTTGGTTCGCGCTTTGCAGAAACAGCGAGATTTTTCGTCCGAAACATGGCCAAAATTAGAATTGTTCTTGGAATATTTGACATGAAACATTTTGGCCTATTATTATTTCTACTGGAGAAGGGAAAGTCTTAACAAAAACTTAATTTTTTACGCAGAGATACCGCCAAAAAATGGTTTGTCTCCGACCGCTCTCCGCATCTCTTTCTTGCCGGCGAAGATCGTCGAATACCTGCGCTGTTTCTATCAAGATGCAAAATTTCTAGGACTTGATTTGCCCCCTAGGCCCCAAAAAATTCAAAGAAAATCTGCCCATCGCATTTTTGAACTTATAATCTTTGATTTTTTCTAATTTTTGACCTTTTTACTACAAACTTTTTGTTTACCCAAAGTTCAAAAATCATGTTATCAAAGAGTTGTTGGGTTGTCACAAAATTCCTCGAAAATTTCTTTATTTTTGCAAATTTCTGAGAGATTTTTTTCGTTCCGAATGAACGTGTCGGTCGCATTCAATAACTCTTGTTCTTTATTCCCCCGAGGGCCTAAACTTCCACGGATGGGGTGCGCTATCTTATAGACGGATGTAGGACGGATAAATCTTTTTTAAAAGGCGGACAAAAATGCAAAAAAAAAAAGAAAAAAACGGCCGAAAAAATGAGAAAAAAACGGTAAATTTTTTTTGAGACGCTTTTGAATCTCTTTCGGATTTCTGAATCCGCGGAAAACGAACAACTTGAAGGAGGGTCGGCTTCGGCGTCAGAATCCCAGAAATTGGATTTTTGTTTTTCCGCGAATTCCGAGATTTAAAAAAAAATTGGTTATGAGGTTAACGGGAAGACTTTGTACAGTGAATAAAGAAGTGACATTCAGGTTATGAAGCCATGTCCTAGGAAAGCCTTTATATGTCGAATTCAAAAATCGACACTTTTAATCGAGTTTATATCCGTCTGTCGTGAATATAATGGAAGCAATGTCGCTGCGGCGGCCCCGCTGAATTGAAAAGCAATTTGATTTTGTCGCAAAACAATCCATTTCCTCTGCGATTTCCCATGCGGCAGACTGATAAATAAAGAATTTCCAGCCTTAATATTCGTTGCAGCGCCCAATTTTATATTATATTGCCGCATACAAGAACACAATAGAATTTCGGCCGCCTTTTGTTTTTCGTATAGCATTTCGGCCGGCTATATTTTCCGTATTTATTCCGATGACCAAGAAAATGACCGAGTCTTGCGCCGCATTTACGTGATAATTAGCTCTCAGGGCCCCGTAATTACTGTTGTATTATTTCCGTTGAACTCATCTTGAACTTGTCATCGATGCGAAAATTAAAAATTTTTTGCCGCGAATGTCATCTGCAGCCCACTGAAGTGCCTGCGGCGAAGGGAGAGGGGGGCACTTTCAACTTCTCACTTGCGTTTACCCGGAAGTGTTCAAGGAGGGTTTTCTGCCGGTTTTTGGACAGATTACAGTAGGGTTCTGAAATGATGAGCCAATTTTTGTCTGTAATATTCTTCTTGCTCCTTCGGTTTTTTTTAAAAATAGGCTGGTTCGAGCTATGTCTATTAATAATTTGGCTCTTTCCGAGACGCTTATATACAGGGTGTTTCAAGAAATTGACAGAAAGTGACAGAAACTTTTTGCGAATATCTTTGAGCTCTTAGGAGTTAGAGCGGAAACTCTCCTTGCTTCTAACAAGGAAAGTACTTTTATGGGGGCTCCTACTTTTTGACGGGACATATCTCAAAAAATCAGAAAAAATGTGCTGATCAAGAATATATAGATCTTAGCTGCCCATTTTAGGTTTTTAGGGGTGAAAACTCAGTCGGAAGTTGACTTAAAGTCCTATATGAACCCCTTTTCGCTTAATTTTTCACGGGTTTACAATTTTTATTTTGGTTTAAAATGGTGTTTATTGAGTTTCTAAGACGTAATAAGACAGTCTTGGCCCAAAAATTTATTTTTCCGACCTTCAACTTCAAAAAAGTTGATTCAGCCCAAAAGGGAAATCGAACCTGTGCGGCGTCCTCCCTCTTGATTCCCAGACTACGGCACTAACCACTCGGCCACACCGCTCTCTTCCGAAGGAAGAGATCGAGTGCTCTTTTTATCGTTTCGAATGTCTGCCTTTTGTAGGGAAATTAAACCAGTTTTTGGGCATTTTCACCCTTAAAAACCTAAAATGGGCAGCTAAGATTTATATATCCTTGATCAGCGCATTTTTTCTGATTTTTTGAGATATGTCCCGTCAAAAAGTAGGAGCCCCCATAAAAGTACTTTCCTTGTAAAGATAGGATTTGGGCGATTTTGTATCCAACAAAAAAAAATTTTTCGTCGGCAGAGAGATCAGTTCTCGGCGGAGACATTTGGGGCCTTTTTTAAAAAATCACATCGTATTACATGGTGGAAACTCTATTACAACGGCCAAAATTAAGTTTACGTCCGTGTATTTTACCAAGGTCCATTTAAACATCTTGTTTGACCTTTCTGACAGGCTTGACTTGATCAGCTATGCGGCTGCAGATTTTTTGCACTATTATTGTTTATTTCGCCAAAAACAAAATTCTCAAATTTTTGTAATGGCGTATTACCGAGTGTTGCTGTAAACAAGAGGCCAATGCCGTTCAGGTTAATAAAAAATAATTTTGGAGGAAAAACAAGGCTTTTATTGTAGACAATATCCGCTCTTCAGCAAGAAAATAATAAAAATGCTTGTAATTTCAATTAGAACCATTTTTCAACGTGCATAAAATTACTCCATTCTACGTATTTTACATTATTTTTTATATACATCTTTACGTTGTAATTTTTGCGCGGATAGCAAAAACTAAAAACCACTTTTCAACTCGAAAAATCCATTCTCCAGGACAAGTGAATGCCCCGTGCGCCGACGCTCCGCCAGAGCCGAATCCATCGTCCGCAACGGCTTTTGGGCAACAACAACAGCAATGATTTGGTTAATAACAACAACACCACCACCAACAATAATAACAGCAGAAGCTCGCGGAGGTCACATGCAACATTGGAATCGGTCGATTCGAAAGTTGATAGAGAGGAAATCCGATCGGTTCTAGTGAGGCATTGGACCGGGCTGGATCGAGCACGATTGCACACATTCCACTTATGGCTTTTGTTTTACGCGTTGGCGCAGATTTTCTTGTTCCATTATCTTTGTCATCGGGTAAGGGCTTGAGATTTCTGCAAAAACTCGCTCCCGGCAGCGTATTTTACTTCTAAACCTGTTTTTGGGCAATAGGAAGCATTGGTGCAGAATGCCAAAAACGACGCGAAAATTTAAATTTAAAAATTTCGTTTTAAAATTTTACTCTGTATATTATGAAGACCAGCAAATTCAGTTTGCTACACTGTTAACTTCCCTATCGATCTGCAAAATCTCAAAAATAATAAATTAAAAAATGTTTTTTTCAGGTCTGGTCGATAATTTATTTCGTATTTTGCCTTATCTTCCCGGTATTTATTTTGGTCAGTTTTGCCTTGATTCGCTATGGAGATGAAGTGGAAGCCACGACAAACCTCAGGAATTCCCCTGAGCTGCAACATAGTCGATTTACGCTGGTCACTTTATCCATGATTTCCTCGGCTTCATTGCCTGTTTTCCTGTGGCTCACCCATCTGCCGTTGATTTCACAGGTACGGTTGGTCCATTAAAAAGGTATCTTATCATTTGTGGACTTTCGACTCAAGTTTTTAAACCTGAAAGTCATGATTTCCTTAATCTCTTCATCTTTTGTCATCTGATCTCAAGTATAATATAACTTTCCTCCTTTCAGCTACAAATCAAGCAAGAACGAGTGGCAGAGCTCTCTTCCCTCTGCTCTTCGCTGGCCATCTCGACGTTTTATCAGTTCTTCGTCCTCCCTCGGCATCGTCGCATCTTCTTAATCATCTCGATTCTCTTCAATTTCGCCAATATTTTCCTTGTCGCCTTGGTTTTATACGAGTATTCCTCCAAATTGGCCTTACGAGAGTCGCCGTTGTACACCGTAATCCCTTTATTCTGCTACCAAATGGCTGTGACGTTCGCCGGAATGATCTGCGAGGCGAATGGAGCGTATAGTAGAGCTACAATTGCGCAGAAATTGGGAGATGCGGTGAAGAGAAGGACAGAGTTGGAAACGCTGAAAAGTCGACAAGATCAACTGCTTCTGAGTGTGATCCCGGCTTATTTAACGGATAAGGTAAGTGGGATTTGCTTTGCAAGATTTTCTGGGACCAACAAATAAATTTGACCAGCTTGAAGCGGAAAGCCAAACTTGGCGGGAAAATTGAAATTTGAAAGTTTAGCCTAGTGAGTCGTTCGGTGGGGTCTGGAGATTATTCGGACATATTTTTGAAATGATATAAATTGTTATAAAGACCTAAAACAGAAAGCCAACCTTGGCGGGAAACCCAGAATTTGAGTTTCTTCGCCAAATTTTCCATTTTGAATTACTATAATTATGAAACTTTCAGGTAAGCCAATCAATAATTGCCACAAGTCAAACCGATCTGAGCAAAATGCCCACCAAACACCACAAACTTTTCCATGAGCTGCATGTTCAAGTTCACGACAATGTCAGTATTTTGTTTGCGGACATTGTGAACTTCACAGTGTTGGCGGCACAGCTGGGAGCGAAGGATCTTGTCAGAACGTTGAATGAGCTCTACAGCAAGTTTGATGAGGACGCTCAAGTAAGTTGAAGAAGGGATTTTTTATTGGGGTGGTTTTGATGTGAAGAGGCTCCACTGCAGATGCAATGAATCACTCTATAAAATGTTATAGCCATTTCAGCAAAGAGTAAGGCAAATCCTCCATGTCTTGAATTAGGTTTTTCCATCTTCCGGGCAGAAGAAAAAATGAATTAATAAAACGATGCGTATTTTACAATTCTATTCTTTTTTCAGAAGCTTCAATGTATGCGAATAAAGTTTCTGGGCGACTGTTACTACTGTGTTAGCGGGATGCCCGTGAACCGTCCAAATCATGCGGATATGTGCGTCTTAATGGGGCTGGAGATGATCAAGACGATCAAGTAAGTCTCTACTACTAATTCCTAAAAACTCGCCTTCAGGCAAGTCCGTTTGGCGACGGGTGTAAACGTGGACATGCGGATCGGCGTTCACACAGGATCGGTTTTATGTGGAATCTTGGGATTGAAGAAATGGCAATTCGATATTTGGTCAGATGACGTCACTTTTGCCAACCAAATGGAAACCGCTGGCATGCCGGGGAGAGTTCATATCACAAAGAAGACAAAGGACATGCTGATTGGAGACTATCGGATTGTAGAGGCAAAGTATGTCTTCTTCAAAGCTTGATAGAACTTTTTAGAGGAGCTTTCTTCTGTGCAGTGGCGGACCTGATCCATTGACAAAAAGCTTATCATTTTGCGTCCGGGAAGCATGAATAAATGTAGCAAAATACCTCTTTCTCCAAGCGCAGAAAGTCTAATTTCAAAAACGCGTCCTCTCTTTTTGTGCCTCTCTCTTCAAACTGAGTTTTGTTTAGCTGAAGAAGGAGGCATTTTGCAACATTTTTTGGTATATCCCGGATGCAAAATGGTACGTTTTTTGCCACTGGAACAAATTCGTCGCTGTAAATTACGTTAGATATAAACGTTGAGACAAACCTTGTTTTTTGGCTTACAAGTAAGAGGGTTGCCTTAAACTTTGCATTCATGTGCTTTGGTAGGCACTATATAATTTCCCAAAATTGTTTTTACGCTTTTTTTACGTAGACTCATTAGCCTCAGCCCTGAGACTCTAACTATGACCACCTTTGCAGACCCTACACTAAGAATGATTCGTAAATTTTAATTTTCAGCTCGGTAGATCCAACAATCGTCAAGTATGGGCAACCAACGTATCATATCCTTCCTGACAAGACCACTTTGAATGAACGGACTGCTTCAATTTATCGAAATAAGTAAGTTACGTCCCCCCTTAGCAATGTTGGGACTCAATGTCAGAGACTTTTTTATTACGTCTTCAGGTTCAAAAAATCCGGGATGGATTTCGGAGAAAATTTGGGAGTTGTTCGCAACTCTTCAAATCGAGTGTCCGTCAAGGCCAAGATGTCCAAAATGGCCGAGTTCTGGGGCGCTGAAACTCCGTTTGCGAATTTGGGAAGGGAAAAGGAGAAAATGGAAAATGGCGTAAGAAAATTCGAAAAATTTTCATTTTTCGCTAATTTTTTCAAATTAAAAAATAATTTTTTAGGATTCCCGCCGACCAAATTATGGAAATACGATCCAGAGTATGACTTTGATCGAAAATAATCTCAACAACATCAATAATACTAGGTAAATTTTAATATAAACTAGTTATATTGGTATTGCTCCTGATATCAATCTTGTATGGTATAATCTACTCTTGTTTTTCAGCCTTAAAACCATGTTCAACTGCACCACCGGTGCCTACAAGATCTCCAAATTTTTGCTCTTTCCGTTTTGGTGAGTTTCAAATAAATAATCCAATAATTTTTGTGACATTTCGTCAAATTCTTCATTTCGTTTTCAAACTTTCAAAAAACAATTTGGCATTGCTAAATACGAGAATTGGAATGTTTTTAGGCGCTTTCCGACTTCACTTCACTTAACCGAATGCCGGATATTGTTCTTGTTATCCATCCCCATCTCTACTGCCAATTATTTTCTAGTGCTCTGTAATGTTCCGTAAGTTACAAAAAAATTTATTTTAGCCTAGGAATAGCGGGTTCTACAAATATTCTAAACCCTTTGACTAAATTTATGATTTGAGGCAGAATGCCAAATTTGGCGGGAAACTTAAAATTCAAAAATTTAGGCGGTAAACTTACAAAAACGACCCTGGTATTAAGAACGTATTTTACCAATTGAATTTTTCCCGAAGAAACCGACTTGAAACGGAATGCCAATTTTGCCGAAAAAATTTCAATTTCAAATTTTTTTTGCCAAGAATAACTAATTTGTCTTGTAATATAATTCGAACTTTATTTTTGGTGCTGAAAGTTTTGTTTTCAGCTACAAAGTCCAACACTTGTTGATTTATCAGATCTTGTTGTGTATTGTAATATTATTCTTGACCTGTGTGGTGGAGAAGTTCTGGCGAACGGGTAAAATCTTCTTAATCCTCATCAGTTATGCGGCGTCGGTGTTTCTGGCAATCGGTCAGCATGTAAGGCAATTATTTTGTCCTATTTTTTGTTCAAAACATTGTTTAGGCGGTAATGTCATTCTTGGCGGTAGTTCAAACTCATGTCCCGGTGTTTGCCATAATATGGCTGCCTTGTAAGTAGAGAAATTAAAGAGTAATAACTTCAATCTAAATTATTTCCAGCCAGCATCTGCCATATGTGCGTGATCTTCGGGCTGTATCGGCTACCGTATCCGTTCCGTTGCTTCTTGGCGTCCGTGGACTGCGCTCTGTTCTTGTTGATTTTGACCTTATTTTCAACGTCAAATGTGTCGGAATCGGCTCCAATCATTAGCTGCCAACTGACCATCATTTTAGTCAATATTATCGCATTGTTTTTGCTGCTACTCTTCGTGGCATGGATTGTGAGTTTATGGCGACTTTTACATTACATAATGGATGACACAGTTGAAAAGAACACGTTTAAAACAAGTTCAGCTTGAAATTTCAACTGCAATCCAAAATTTTTACAATTTCAGACCGAATATGAGCGGAAAGTAGAAGCCGCTTGTAACGTTGCCTTCAAAAATGAAGAAAAAGATGTGCAGACCATGCAGGACATCAACAACTTGCTCATTGAAAATATCCTGCCCAGAAGTGTGGCGGCCAAGTTTTTGGAGCCCGATCGGAACACGGATGTAAGCCTTTAGCCGCAAAAAGAGATAAAAAAATTGCTCTTTCAGGAGCTCTATGCTCGAGATCATGACTATGTTTGCGTCATGTTCGCGAGTATTCCCAATTTCAAGGAGTATTGGAGCGAATGTGATTCGAATCGGAAGCTGGAGTGCCTCAGGGTACTGAATGAAATTACTTGTGAATTTGATAAGGTAAGTTATAAAAAAAGCTCTTTTCCAGATAATTTTGCCCTATTTTACAAAAGTCCGACCGTTTGTTCGACTTGAAACGGAATGCCAATTTTGGCGGGAAAATTGAAGTTCAAAATTTTTTGCTGATTTTGCAAGATACGGTTATAAATAGATTTAAAATAGGTTATGATATGGGCAGAAATTTGCCATTTTAACTTTTGGGTGACATTTTATACGTAAAAATTTCCAAAAATTCAAATTTCCATGTTGAAAGAAATGAATCCTCTTCGCCATTTTTTCTAAACAAAAAATAAATTTCAGCTCCTGAGCAAACCCAAATTCTCTTGCATCGACAAGATCAAAACAGTCGCTTCGACTTACATGGCCGCCGCGGGCCTCAGTGATCATGAAATTGACGATAAAGGCCATCGTTCGGCCACAGCAATGATTGAGTTCGCCATGGCCATGCATCAGTGTTTGGAGATGCTCAACGCCGACGCTTTTCAAACCTTTGAGCTGAGGATTGGAATGTCGTTGGGACCGCTGGTCGCCGGAGTCATCGGCGCTCAGAAGCCGCAGTACGATATTTGGGGAAATACGGTGAATATGGCGAGCAGAATGGATTCGCATGGAGTGGTTAGGCATATTCATGTGAGTTGTTACCGTTAGGATGACTAAAAATCTCATTTGAACAATTTTTTAAAAAAAAGTTTTTTTTATTTTTCAAATTTCCCGCCATTTTTGTAAATCCTTGGCATTCTGTTGCAAGCTGTGAAATTGTGACGATTTTCCATAAAGAGGGTTTTTTGTTTATCTATGACATCAATTATAACATTTTGTAGCCCTTGCAACACAATGCCAAAAATTTCGAATAGCCCGCCAAATTTTTATTTAAAATTCATGATTTTAAACTTTCTTAAAACTCCATACCCTTTCAGATGACCGGAGAGATGGCCGCCGCTTTGCCCAAGAACCTCTACCGAGTGCAAAGTCGAGGGCTGATCCGAGTCAAAGGCGTCAAACACGAAATGGAAACCTTTTTATTGCCGTTGGCAACAAAACGCAACAGTGGCTTTACCGGCACAAATATCAACCAGCAACTTGTCAAATTCTAATCTAGTCGCCTTTCGCAATCATAACGTGTCATACTTCCCAAAGTGCTATGTAAAATACGACAGTGCGATGCCTTTTTTAGACGGTTAAATTTTCTAAAATTGTTGATGATTTGATGATTTTTTTGTAATAATTTAATAATTATTGATAATAAATAGAACAGATTTTTATGCCTAAATCATCGGCGGTGCTAGTAATAACATTTTATTAGAATACTGACATTTTGAAACAGTACAACTTGCAAAAATTTAAAAATATTGAGAAAAAATCGACAAAATTCGCCGAAAACTCCGAAACACGATGTTAAACCAATAAATTAGTGTACAATGCAGTGCCAGGAAATTAGTGTAACCGGTGGAGGAAACAGTTAGGATCGAAGCCGCGTTGCTGACCCATTCCCATCGGCATTTGCGGGAAGTTTTGGCCCATTTGAGGTGTTAGCGGTGGTCGGCTAAAAAGTTGTGGTTATACTGTTGTTAGTATTGTCAGTAAATTGCAAAATACGGAAAGCTGATTAATTAATAAGGTTAGTAGAAACCAAGGAGCGGTTAAATTTTAGTCTTAATTTGAATATTTTTTGGCTTCGTGGAGGATTTTCTGAATTTTGGCATTTTGTTGCAAGCGGAAAGGGGCGAAAAATTAGCTCAGAATTGATTCAAGTGGGCCACAAAACTCACTAATTTTTAGAAACTTGCAACAGAACCCCAAGAATTTTCTGCAAACCTCAAAAATTTCAAAATTCAAATCTTAAACCGCCAAAAAACCCCATAAAAATTGCAAAATGATTATTAGCTGAGTACAATTTGGATTAATGATACAAAAAACGAAGTCAGATCAAATTTGGGGGACATTTGGGCGCCCATTGCCCGAGGGCTTAATGCTTCTTCTTCTTGCCCAAGGCATCCATGGGGACCGCAAAAGGAGTGCGACCAACAAACGAGCTGCCGAGCCGACTATAGGGATAACCGTACCCGCTCATGCCGCTCATCCCACTCATGCCGCCCATTCCCATTCCACTGCCGTAGCCCATGCCGCCCATGCCGCTCATTCCTTGGCCATACATGCTGTTGTAGCCGTAGGGATAGCTGAAAAGTGTCGAAATTACTGTACGCGTTATGATCAGCCACCTTTAAGTTTTCGTGGCGAAACACAGACTTTTTCGGTCCCGCAGCGAAAACGTCAAGATGCCAAAAACCACTCTAAAAGCTCAGAAAATTGTTTTACTTACCCTCCCATCCCCGCCATGGCTCCATAGCCACCCATTTGTCCCATTTGTCCGTATTGACCCATTCCATACGGAGATGCGTAAGAATTGTAGCCACCGAAGCCCTGAGGCGAATATAGAATCTGTGATGAAGCGACGGACACAACCATGAAAGCCACGATGAATGCAGCACCTGAGGACATTTTGAAGACCTTGTTTGGCTGAGATCCGATGGCAAGGAAAGGCTGCAATTCAGGGTCAGTTAGATATCAAAAAAATCGCAAAATGAGGCAAAAAAACTGCAAAATCATTGATGAGAGTCCCGAAGGCATTATCATATCAATTTTTTTTAAATTATGGCACTGTGACCTCAATCTTGACGTTTGACAAAAACCCGCAAAATTTGAAATTCAAACTTTTTGAGATCTCGAGATCTGCCAAAGCCCGAAACCCAAGAGTCAATGGCTATTCCTAGCAGAAATTTCTTTTATATACAGTCATGAATTCTCCAGTAAATCCCAAAAAAAAGCCTTTCTACAACAAAAAATTTCAAAAAAAGGGTGCGGCTTCACGGTTTCATAAACCCGAAAAGTCTCCTCCATACAACATGGAGATTAGTGTTGTTCGGGAATTGGGGTTGTGCGCGGATTATCGCCGCTCGCTGTGGATTCGCATTCCTGGCACGACAGTCTGGTTTCAAAATATTGTTTTTTTAATCGAGAGGTTAATCCCGTTTCAAGTGGCTCTTGTCCATTTTTCACAATAAAGTTGACAAAGAGAAGTTTTGTAGGTCAGAAGGAACCGATTTGCAGAGAGATTACAGTGTTTGGAAATAGAGTCAAGGTTGGAAACAGGGGGGATTTGTCATCAGTTTCTAGGACAACTTTGGCTTTGGGGAATAAAAATTTAAACCGTGCCATAAAAATAAGATTGACATGAGACGCTTGATAAAGAATACAAATATACATGCAACAGAAAGGAGAAACATAAAAAAGGGATGGCTGGTGGAAATTTCTATACAGGGTGTTCAGAGAATTATGGAAAAAACTATTCATTAATAACTTTGCGCTCGGTGGTCCAATCCGAAAAATTTTTTTTGCATTTTACAGAAAAACCTTGGAGTTTTTAGAATCTAAAAATTTTTTTTTCTTTTATCGGCGGAGACTTCCGTAATCCGCGTTGAATTCGGCGGAGTGTTTTTTTCACAAAACAAGGCTGTAAATCGTTGTATGTGTAAAGAAAATGGGCGGAAAAGGATTTAGAAGATACAATGTGACATTTCTTTCAAATTTCTGTGCTTCGGCGGAGACATTTTTAACCTCGGCGGACGATTTTTCTGCGACTTCGGATAGTCAAAATTGGCTAAAGAGTATGGTATCCCTGGTGGCATGGAGCTTAAAAACGATTTATTTAATACGTCTTCAGCCGGCTGGCAGATGAAAAAAAGGTAATTCGGCGGAGAAATCGGCGGAGAAAAAAATTAACCCATTTAAGAAATTATGATGAGAAAACTAAAGTTGTAGGTCTTATACGGCCCTGATCAACCAAAAATATGACTCTTCTTATTGGCGGATGCTCGGCGGATGAATTTGCATAAGTTCTTAAATACGTTCATCTTTTTTTCGTCTATTTCTCCGCCGAATTGCCGTTTTTTCATCTGCCAGCCGGCTGAAGACGTAATAAGTCGTTTTTAGGCGCCATGCCACTTGGGATACCATACGCTTTGGTTTTAGCCAATTTTGACTATCCGAAGTCGAAGAAAAATCGTCCGCCGAGGTTAAAAAATGTCTCCGCCGAAGCACAGAAATTTGAAAGAAATGTCACATTGTATCTTCTGAATCCTTTTCCGCCCATTTTCTTTACACATACAACGATTTACAGTCCTATTTTGTGAAAAAAACACTCCGCCGAATTCAACGCTGATTACGGAAGTCTCCGCCGATAAAAGAAAAAATTTTTTTAGATTCTAAAAACTCCATAGTTTTTCTGTAAAATGCAAAAAAAAATTTTCGGATTGGACCACCGGGCGCAAAGTTATTAATGATTCGTTTTTTCCATAATTCTCTGAACACCCTGTATAACGAAGATCTATAAACTTTATTTTTACTTCTAGAGGCGTTCAAGTAAACCAGGAAATTAGGATGTTATACATAGACAAGCTGAGATTTGTTTTTTTTTTATTTTGACCAAGGACAAGAATCATGCAGATTTGCAATATATACATATGTATATTTTGCATGCGCTTTCCAGAAACTTCCAAAATTCCTCAAGGATCTATTATGTATAAAAAAATTCTAGGGTAAATTGCTAATGGGCGTATAATATTTGCACAAAAAATAAAAAAATTATGTGCTGGAGCGAAAGAGTTGTAGGCAAAATAGTCCTTTGCATGGCCGACTCTGCTCGTTTTGCGTGTTCTTTGTAAATATTGTATTTCGCTGCTGTATGTTTGTGTCCTACTTGAAAGACTTTCCATGACAATAAACCTGACTTAAATTTATGCCGAGTTTTATTGAGATCTCTAACACTTTCTGACAACTTTTCCATCAAATTTAAGTAATCAATTGAGTCTCACCAAGCCTGGCAATATAACTTTTTCCTAAATTTCTGGGGCGATTCACCTTTCTCCTCAATCGGATTTTTCTTTCTTTCTTCTTCCGTAACCTTCCTCGCTGATATCGGGAATGTTTGCCGAATGAATCGGCCCTTTTTCCTTGAGTGGCGATTAGAGGCGAAAAGCGGAATATTGAGGAATCGTGCGGTTTGTTTGCGAAAAGTCATTGGGGTTATTGGTCAGTCCAGTAGGCTTGCATGTTGGGCAGGTAAAACTTTGATTTTTTTGTCAACGAGAACGTCCGATCTTGTGATTTCATTTGTAAATACGAGTACTATTTAATCAAATTTATCATTTTGAACCTAACCTAAAATGGCAATGTAAATTCAATTTGGAACTGGGACGATTGGGGAAAAGGACGATTGGGGAAAGGGACGATTGGGGAAAAAGACGATTGGGGAAAAGTACGATTGGGGAAACCGAAAAGTATTATTTTTCTTCGATGCAAATGTCGAAATTAGGATAATCGAGGGTGCTCATTTCGAAAATGACATTCTTTTTTTTGATTCTTACTTTTTTTCTTAAGTAGTACTGTTAAGTACTAATTTTTTAAAAATTTTCGAAAAATACTGGATTTAGGGGATTTCGAAGGTGCTGGTTTCGAAAATCATGTTCATTTTTCCTCTAGTACTATATAGTACTATTCTGATACTATATAGTACGAGGTCAAAATATGGCTTTTGACGTTAATGGTGTTGTTTTGATGCTTAGTACTCTTCAAAAACACGTTTTAAAGACTTGGTGCTATATAGTACTACCTGATACTATGTAGTACGAGGTGTAAAGTTGGCCTTTAGGCGTTCGTGGTGTTGTTCTGGTGCTTAGTACGCCTATTTTTACTTCGTACTACATAGTATCAGACAGTACTATATAGCACCAAGTCTTAAAAACGTATTTTTTAAGAGTACTAAGCATCAAAACAACACCATTAACGTCAAAAGCCATATTTTCACTTCGTACTATATAGTATCAGAATAGTACTATGTAGTACTAGAGGAAAAATTTACATGATTTTCGAAATCAGCACCCTCGAAAACCCCTAAATCGAGTATTTATGAAAAAAATCAAAAATTACTACTTTACAGTACTACTTAAGGAAAAAAGTAAGAATCAAAAAAATGAATGTCATTTTCGAAATGGGCACCCTCGATTATCCTAACTTCGACATTTGCATGGAAGAAAAATAACACTTTTCGGTTTCCCCAATCGTACTTTTCCCCAATCGTCTTTTTCCCCAATCGTCCCTTTCCCCAATCGTCTTTTTCCCCAATCGTCCAACTCCGATTCAATTTTGCTCTCTAATAACCAAGTTTAAAATCGAATCATATTACCCACATACGGCGAAAACATGTGGCCGGAACTAATTTTATACACTCTTTTCCCATGGGAAAATTAAGCCCGATGGTTATGCCCCATCCAGGAATTTTTGCTATTCATTTCCTACTGGAATTTCTGAAAACTGTCATGAGTAACATTTTAGGAATTGTCCTACTGCATTATGTATATAAAGCTATTTAAATACGACTTTTTTATCTCTTTAAAGCTTGAAGATTTTTTTTGTAATGAATACATTGGAGCTTATGTACAGCGAAACTTGTCTATAACAAACGATTTTGCAATTTAATGAAGTAATTTTTTGGCCAAGGCGAATCTTCGAACAACTAAATCCTTCTACAGTGAGGGACCGGATCCAATGGCAAAAAAAGGTCTCATTTTGAATCCCGGAAGGGATCAAAATGCCTCCAAACCCTTCCCTTCTCAAAGCTAAAAAAACCCCGCTTTGAAGAGCCCGCCTTGAAGGAAAGGGCGCGCTTTTCAAAGCGGAGTTTCTTAGCTTAGAGAAGAGAAGGGTTTGGAGTCATTTTGGCCCCTTCAAAGATCCAAAACGAGCGGTTTTTTGCCATTGAATCAGTTTCCTCACTGTACAGGGTCTTTCAAGAAACGTGAAGGAAAGTAGGAGGCTATAACTTTCGGCGGAGGCGGCGCAGAGCCTTTGTTTTTGGAATATGTTTTTTTAAAGCCATATCGTTTTTTGTCTATTAAATAACAAGATTTTAAAGTGCAAACTGAGGTCGCTACGACGTTTTGAAGTAGGTCACTTTTACCCCGAAAACCAGTCCTTTTTGGTTGAAAATGATTGAGAAATTTCGAACTTTTTCGGTTGAAAATCACCAAGAAATGTTAACAAAATTTTTTAGTCGCTGGCAATTTGCGATTTTAGCGGCTTGACTCTACTTTTCTTGCTGATAGCGCAATTTTATAATTTTTAGTCTCTAATTTCTGGAAGTAAAAGTTACGGTCAGGAGCGTTGTTTGTTGCTAATTTTTTCTTTTTGCAAGCATATTCTAGGCTAGACTACCACATGTGGCTACCGTCAAGTCCCGAGAAAAAATTTGTTCTCATTTTTTGCTCAAAATGAAGCCTCGGATTTCTGTTTTTTGATGCTAATATTTTGTCATTAGTCCCCGTACATTGGCGAAAACTGGGTGTGTCGTGGCTGCGACCGAGAAATAAAATGTCTTATAAGATTCTTTGTTTGATAAAAAAATCTCCGTTTAACGAATGTAAACTTGAAGCGATAATTTTTGT